CGGGGAGCTGCAGACGCCTGGGGAGCATCTCACTGCCGGCCGGGGGCTGGGATTGCAGGGGTGACCCCGGGCGCGTTCCTCTCCGTGGGTCTGTCACAGCAATGGGATGGGGGGGGCAGGAACCTTCCTGCAGCCCATTTGCTGCATCCAGTGTCAGAGATCACTGGTGTAGCCGATTCCCCTCTGACATTGCCCTTTCTTGTGTCGTTCGTGTCTGTTTTCTTCCAGATGCTGGCTACCAACACCCTCAGGTGAGTCTAACTCTCTCATAAGAACGGCCAGACGGGGTCAGACCAACGGTCCATATAGCCCAGTGTCCTGTCTGCCCACAGTGCCCAATGCCAGGTGCCCCACAGGGAGGGAATAGAACAGGGAATCCTCACGTGACCCCTCCCCTGTCACCCACCTCCAGAGAAACAGAGGCGAGGGGCTCCATCCCCACCCATCCTGGCTAATAGCATTGATGGGCCTATCCTCCATGAAGCTATCTAGCTCTTTTTTGAACCCTGTTAAAGTTCTAGCCTTCACCGCATCCTCTGGCAAGGAGTTCCACAAGTTGACTGCGCTGTGGGAAGAAACACTTCCTTCGGTTTGTTTTAAACCTGCTGCCTATTTATGTCATTGGGTGACCCCTAGTTCTTATAGTGTGGGAATAAGTAAATAACTTTTCCTTGTTCACTTTTTCCACACCAGCCATGATTGTATAGACCTCTATCCTACCCCTTAGTCTCCTCTTTTCTAAGATGAAAAGTCCCAGTCTTTTTAATCTTCATATGGGACCCATTCCAAACCCTGCAACATTTTTGTTGCCCTTTTCTGACCGTTTTCCTATGCCGATTTATCTTTTGAGATGAGGTGACCCCACCTGTATGCAGTATTCCAGATGTGGGCGTAGTGTGGTTTTATCAAGAGGCAATAAGATGTTCTCTGTTTTATTCTCTATCCCTTGTCTAACGATTCCTAACATTCTGTTTGCTTTTCTGACGGCCGCTGCGCACTGGGTGGATGTTTTCAGAGAACTCTCCACGGTGACTCCACGATCTCTCTCTTGAGTAGTGGTAGCCAAATTAGTCCCCATCATAGTGCATGCATCTCTGTGAATTAACTGTTACTTTCCCCAGTCCCTGGTGTGTTGCACAATGGAGACCAGGAGGTCTGGGTTAGAAACATGTGGGAATTCACAAGCCAAGGAAGAAACAAACTTCTCCTGGTGAGGGGAGAGAGACTCTCTGGAGCTGAGACTCCATGTGGTCCGAGCAACGGACTCCATCTGGGGTCGTACTGGCCACTGTCCGGGATGGGACCATGAGAGGCACAGGGAGCGACTCAGAGATGGAAGGCAGAGGGGTCGGGTTTTTATATTTGAGCATCTGCCGCCGCTTTGCTCCCACTCCATGGCTGTGTCTACACTGGCGCGTTCTCACGCAAAAACTCTTTTGCGGAAGAGTCCTTGTGCAAAAACTCTCCCACAAGAGCGCGTCTGCACTGGCGTGTGCTTTTGCGCAAGAGCATCCGTGCCAGTGTGGACTCTCTCTTGCGCAAGAAAGCTCCGATGGCCATTTTAACCACCGGGCTTTCTTGCGCAAGAAATTCATGTTGCCTGTCTACACTGGCCTCTTGTGGAAGAGCTCTTGCGCGAAAGGGCTTTTTCCTGAGAGGGAGCGTTAGAGTTCTTGCGCAAGAAGCCCTGATTTTGTACAATAGAACGTCAGTTTACTTGTGCGAGAACGCGCGGCCAGTGTAGACAGGCAGCATGGTTTTGCGCAAAAAATGGCCATTTTCACGCACGGGTTTGGAAGAGTCTCGGAGACCAGGGCGTCGGCTCAGCCCCCCTCCAGGCAGCGAGGGGGGAACTGGGATGTCAGCTCGCCAGAACCACAGCAGAAAGAGGGGAGGGACGGGGTAAGGGTGGGGGAGCTCTGTGGATAGGGACTGTCCCTTCCTCTGTGCACCCAGAACCCTGGCACTGATCAGCCATTACTGCAATACAGGCAAGAACCCTGACACGTTCATTTTCATTGTAGGATTTCTGCAGTGAATTCCACGGTCCCCCAACTGCCTGCACCCTGGAGTATCGCCCGGTGTGTGGCAGTGATGGCAACACATACGGCAACAAATGTGCCTTTTGTGCAGAAGCCTTGTAAGTAAATAGGAGGCGGGTCAGTCAGGACAAGGGCAAAGTGCTCCACCTCGGGAGAAACAGCCAGCGTGACCCGGAGAGAGTGGGAAGCGACGGGCTAGGGAGGAGCACTGCAGAAAGGGGTCTAGCGCAAATAAAACAAGCATCTTTCCGGGCTGCAGGAACCGGAGCGTTGTGAGCCAGGCGCGAGGCGTCAGCTCGTGCTCTGATGAGGTCTCAGCTGGAGGGCTGAGTCCAGGTCTGGGCCCCACATTTCAAGAAAGTGGTGGAGAAACTGGGGAGGGTCCGGAGAAGAGCCACACACGCGCTGGAAGGTCTGGGAAGCACGTCCTGTGCGGGACGATCGACAGGCGGGTTTGTGGGGAGCAGAAGCCTGAGAAGGGGCAGGACAGCAGCTCTCAGTTACACAAAGGGGAGGTGACGTGTCCTCCTGGACCAGGGTGGAGTGGGGAGGGACCCCGGGGCCGGCAATTCTAAGGGGCCCAGGGCTCACAGCCACTGCTGCTGTGGGGGCAGCAGCCGCTGGAGCCCGTGGCCTTTAGAATCACTGAGGGCAGAGCACTCCAGCGCCCGTAGAATTGGGCCCTGGGGTAACGGCCCTTTTGTCCCACCCCCGCTGAGCTCTGAATGGGGGGCCACCAGGCTGTCCGGGCAGCTCCGGGGGCTGGCTGCCCCGCCCCTTCCACTTACAGACCCACCACTTCCAGGAGCGCACACACTCCCCCCCCCCACACACACACATTGCCCCGGGGCACGGTGATCCTGTGGGCTCCCTGGGTTCTCCTGGGCCTCTGAGGACAGGACAAGAAGCAATGGGGCTGAAACTGCAGCAAGGGAGGTTGAGGTTGGACATTGGGAAAAACTTCATGCCTGTCAGGGGGTCAAACACTGGAATAAATTGCCTGGGGGGGTTGTGGAATCTCCATCCCTGGAGATATCGAAGAGCAGGTTGGACAGACGCCTGTCAGGGATGGTCTAGATGGTGCTTGGTCCTGCCATGAGGGCAGGGGACTGGACCTGATGACCTCTCAAGGTCCCTCCCTGTCCTACAATGTTATGATTCTACAGCAATAAATCGCCCATTCATCCAAGCCCCTGCCTGCGCCCATCCGTCTTTACCGCTCAGAGGCTGGCTCAGCTTCCTCGGTGTCATTTTTCCTGTCATCGATAAGCTCTGGTTAATTTGACACAACGAGGCCTTGACAGACGTTTGCCCTCCTTCTGTGTCTCTTCCCCTCCAGGAAAAAGCCCGGCACCCTTTTCTTTGCATACTGTGGGGAATGCTGACTCCTCAGGGGCACCGAACGCGGACAGGAGCTGAGCCCCGTGTGCTGTTCGCTCCCACGAGCAGAGCCCCGCGCGGAGCCTCGTTCCCGTCCCGCCTCCATGGCCTGGCCCCCGGCAGCATCGCTGCCCATCCCCCTGCCTGCGCAATAAAGGAAACTCCGTGAAATCTGTTGCCTCGGTGGAGTTTTTTCCCCCTTTCCAAGGAGGCGCTCTGCTCTCCACGGTCTGACAGGGGCTCCCTGCAGCCGCCTGCCAGGCCCTTTCCTACTCGGGCAATCACCATGCAAAGCTCAGATACGTTCCCTGCCTCTTAGTGTTATCCACGGATCAAGCCATGAGATCCTGAGCAAAGCCCAGGGAAAGTGCATTAAACTGTGGGGATGGGGGCTGGAGAGCTAATAGGGATGCCCCTGAATAGGCCACGAAGGGAGCAGAGATGCAGGGGTGCAGTTAACCCAGAAATGTGGCAAGCCCCACGGCACAGAGCTGCAGTTCATTGCGCGTGAGACCACTACGTCCTGCACAATGCAGGCGTCACCTCTCGTCGGTTCCCCTTGAACCAGGCTCAGCCGCGGCGCATCCGAAAAGTCACCCCGACGGGGTCTGGAGACACGGAGAGCTGGAGTTTGCACCAGTGGCGGGTTAAACTCATTCCAAATGTTGCCTCATCTCCGACTGGAATTTGTCTGGCTGTGGTCCCAGCTGTCCGTGGTTCCGGCTGCCCGTTTGCGTTCTCCCCCTCACACTGAAATCGAGTCACCTCTCGGCCTTCTTCTTCTGAGCCAGCCAGAACCACCTCTGCCAATCTCCCAACGGTGTAAGCATTTGCTCAGCACTCAAGTTACCTCTGGGGCTCTTCTCTGCTCCTGCTCCTGTGTTTAAACCACGTCTAAACCTGCAGGCACCCAACTGGATCCCCTAAGCCAGTATCAGTGCTGAGCACAGAGGTAAAGTCACCTCCGGACTCCTGCTCCTTACTGCCCTATTGCTGCAGCTACGCCTCCCATTAGCCACTTTGGCTACACCAAGGGGCTGGGGGCTCGTGCTCTCCAGAAACCCTGGCTCCTTTTCACAGGCTCTGCTTTCCCTGTTCCATAGGGCCAGCCTGCCCCCTTCTGCCCCACGGGCTCACTGGCTGTGTTAAACCCTGTTTTGTACGTGGGACGGGATCGGTCCCTCTCCTGGGTCCCAGACCCCGGCTCACGCCGCAATCCGCAGCCTAGGTACCACGGCGCAGGTTTCGCTCGCCCCCGTCAGCGTTTGTGGGGGCTGTCCCTTGGCAAACGTGGCCATCGGGACAGAGGCTTCCTCCTGGTCCCTGCAGGGAAGGGAGCCTAAATACTCCCTGTTGGAGCCCGTCACTTTCCCTCTCTGGCAACGCTGCCCAGCATAACCTTCCCTGTTGAACCTCCCTCCTAGCTCCCTTCCACTCTCCCCCACCCTCCCCACAGGGAAGGTTTTCAAGAGGTCCCGGGGCAGCCTGAAGTCAGCTCAGCTGGCCCTTAATTGATCTAGAGCCGCCCTGTCTCAGCTGCCCGGATTCACCAGGGCCCTTGCTGCTTTCCAGAGCTGCCTTTCTCCCCTTCTGCGCCAGCCCCCTCACCGGCCCTGCCACATGATCCCAAACCCCTTAAAACACAGTCCAGGCCACTGGGCAGCCCTGCCCACGCCGCCAGCCCTTGTGTCAGTCACGTTTTCTCAGCAGTTATTTTATATTCACTTCCGGAGCAGTGATGGAACCGCCCCCCCTCCCCGGTTTCCAGGCCTGGTTCTGACCCATGCAGCCCTCACCAGAGCCACCCGGATTATTTCCTCTTCACCACGACTCACTGATTAGGCCGTTTGTAATCCATGGATCAGGCGCGCTACTGATATTGTCTAATGGGGTTGCCAGGTGTCTGGTATGCAACCGGACAGTCCAGTTTTGGGGCCTCTGTCTGGTAAAAAACTTCAGAAAATACCGGACACGTGCAATGAGCAATGTGCAATGAGCAGTGTGCAATGAGCAATGAGCAATGAGCAGTGTGCAGTATGCAGTGTGCAATGAGCAGTGTGCAATGAGCAATGAGCAATGAGCAGTGTGCAGTATGCAGTGTGCAATGAGCAGTGTGCAATGAGCAATGAGCAATGAGCAGTGTGCAGTATGCAGTGTGCAATGAGCAGTGTGCAATGAGCAATGAGCAATGAGCAGTGTGCAGTATGCAGTGTGCAATGAGCAGTGTGCAATGAGCAATGAGCAATGAGCAGTGTGCAGTATGCAGTGTGCAATGAGCAGTGTGCAATGAGCAATGAGCAATGAGCAGTGTGCAGTATGCAGTGTGCAATGAGCAGTGTGCAATGAGCAATGAGCAATGAGCAGTGTGCAGTATGCAGTGTGCAATGAGCAGTGTGCAATGAGCAATGAGCAATGAGCAGTGTGCAGTATGCAGTGTGCAATGAGCAGTGTGCAATGAGCAATGAGGAATGTGCAATGAGCAATGAGCAATGTGCAATGTGCAATGAGCAGTGTGCAATGTGCAATGTGCAATGAGCAATGAGCAGTGTGCAGTGTGCAATGTGCAATGAGCAATGTGCAGTGTGCAATGAGCAATGTGCAATGAGCAATGAGCAGTGTGCAGTGTGCAATGTGCAATGAGCAATGTGCAGTGTGCAATGAGCAATGTGCAATGAGCAATGAGCAGTGTGCAGTGTGCAATGTGCAATGAGCAATGTGCAGTGTGCAATGAGCAATGTGCAATGAGCAATGAGCAGTGTGCAGTGTGCAATGTGCAATGAGCAATGTGCAGTGTGCAATGAGCAATGTGCAATGAGCAGTGTGCAATGTGCAATGTGCAATGCCCGGTGCTCTCTGGTTTCTGGCTGGGCGCCCAAGGGAAGCCTGGCGGGGGCGGGGGAGTGGCTGGAGGGGGCGGGCTCGGCGCTTGGAGCCTCTGGTTGCGTCTGACGTAGGAGTGACGCCTTGGGGAGGAGGGGGAGCCCCGTCCCTGCCCCTGAGCGCTGGTCCGCTCTCCTCTGGTGGCATCCCTCTGGGTTTGTTTTAATGTGGCGAGGCCCAGTGAAAGCCAGTTCTTCCCAGACCTGGGGGCAGCGCTCCGGCCCGGAAGGCCCCCGGGGCCAAAGCTTTCAGGCTTTTCTTGGGTTTTTCTGGCATTGAGGCAAAAGGCAATGATGGGGCTCGGCCACAAACGTCAGACTCGGAATGAGTGGGGGGGGCCGGCCAGGCGGGCGTGTGGCTCGGGGTCGCCTCTCTGGTAACAGGAGAGGGTCCCTGAGAGCTGAGCTCCCCGGTAGCATGCGGAGCAGAAGCCCAGCTCCCCCCGGGGTTGAAATGCTGGCGCCCAAGACCGGCAGCCATTCCCAGGGTGTGCTCCTGGCTGACGGGGGAAGCGGGCAGGAGGCACCTTCAGTGCCGGCCACTCGTGAGGGAGCAGACGGGGCAGAGGGGGAAGGTCTGCGGCTGGGGACTCAGGCACACGCTGCCGGTACGAACTTGGGCAAGGCACTGAATCTTGCTGCACAAGTCTCTGTGTCCTGCGTTATCTCTGGAGAGCAGCCAGGCAATTAGACTCTCCGGTCAGCAGACGCAGCCTTGATTGGCATTACCCTGAGAGCCTCAGCCTGTGCAATTCGGCACATCTTCCAACGCGCCTCAGAGCGCTGGTTCAGATCTAGTGGTGCAGGTTGAGCAGGGAGGGATTGTATCGCATGCCTGGGCTATACATAGATGAGCTGGCAATCCGGCTTCGTCAGGAGTTGCTTTAATAGGCATAAAAATAAACTCGGCATTTCCAGTCCTGGCACTTGCCTCCCCGCTGCTCAAGCCTGGTGAGTTGCCTGCACGTTTTTGTCTGGCGTGTCCGTCTCCCGTCTTTCCACATCTGTGGCACGGAGCCATTTTAATGGAATTTATTCATTTTTTTACTTTCAATCCTGTTTATTTTGGCAGCGTTTGCTACGTGCAGCATCCCACGGCACCGCTGCTAAGACAGGAGACATTTGCAGCGAGAGCAACCCGCTGCAGGGAAGCGTTTAAATGCCGGTGTAAACACTCTCTCGCCTTCCTAGCGCTGGAGGCTTCTGCATTGTCGGACACTTGGAGTCCATAAGACTTGGAAGATGGGCTCTGTTGGGCTGCAATTAATGGCCATGAGCCGGGGTTACCGGTAACCTGGTTCGTTGAGGTGGACTCTGCCCATGGCTACTTGTGGGCTATGCACCCACGGGCCCGGCAGCCGTGTATTCCTAGTGCCTGTTAGAGCTTTGTGCATCCCCCCTTGGCCCTCTGCTTGGCGCTTCAGCATGTTCGGAGGGCTGAGCTACAGGGAACTCCCATGCAGTTGTCACCTCAGGCCTTTCCGCCACTGCTGCACAGCCAGGACTCGTTAAGGCGCTGAGAAGAGGGGGAAGGATGCGGGGAGGAGGGGGAATTTGACTGTGCAGAACACAGCCCAAAGACCCTTCCTTACCGGACCCTTTGCTCCGCCGAGGTCCCTCTGCACATCCCCACGCCTGGGAAGGGGGCGTCAGCCGTATCCGGAGGAGGCCAGGGGGTGGGTAGGAGCTAGTGATGTGAAAGGTTAACCGGTAATCCTCATCCTTTCTGGGTGGTGCTTAGCGGTTCTGGTGAACCGATGGGGACTGCAGCAGCTCCTGACCCTGTTCCAGCCCCGGCCGTCTGGAGCAGCCCCTGTCCACGGCAGGCTCAGGCACATCAGGGGTGGGCAATAATTTTTGAAGGGGGACACTTAATGAATTTTGGGGTGGTCATGGACTGGCTGCCCTGCAGGGGCGGGGCCTAGGGCAGAAGGGGCGGGGCTAGGGACTAGCCTCCTCCCAGAGGTGTCTGGGGCTGGAGCCTTTGAATTACAAACACAGCAAAGGGCTCACAGCACCCAGCCCTGCCGCCACCGCGTTGCCTGGCCACCCGCCTCCTCCCTGTGCCCTGAAGAGCCATCGTCTTCATTTACCCCTCCCTGGGATCCACACACTCTGCCACTTCTGCCACCAGACCGCTGACAACCCCTGGGTAACAAGACACCTTCGTGCACCTCTGCTGTCACAATCCACAAAGCTCAGGGCTGGAATAACCCCCCTCCCCACCCCTGAGTCAGCCCCCTCCCAGAGCCAGCACCCATCCCCCTTCCTGCACCTCTGACCCACCCCGAC